TAGTGCACATATCCACACCATTTTTTCATCCGTGTGGATTTTATCAACTTTAATCAACTTAGAATCCAAAATCTCTCGAATCCAATGATACCTTGTATCAATATGTTTCGATCTCCCATGAAATGTCAGATTCTTGCTAAGATGGATCGCACTTTGATTGTCGCAATACAAAATATACTTTTGTTGAGCGAAACCGATTTTACTCACAAAAGTCTTCAATCATAATAACTCCTTGCAAGCTTCGGTAGCAGCAATAAACTCTGCCTCAGTGGAAGAGAGTGCAACACATTTCTGCAATCGGGATTGCCATGAAATAGCTCCCCCTGCATTAGTTATCAAGTATCCAGAAGTAGACTTCATATTATCAATATTTCCGGCCATATCAGAATCTGTATAACCAACAAGCTCCGGCTTATCAGTACCAAAGGACAACCTCATACTCGAAGTTCCCCGAATATATTTCAAAATCCATTTCACTGCACTCCAATGCTCTTTGTCAGGATTCGACATGAATCGGCTGACAACACCAACTGCACACACCGGCTTATATGTCCGGCCGAGTACACACCATGGAGTACATCAAACTTCCAACTTTTGAGGCATAAGGAATCCGCTGCATAACTTCCTTTTCTTTCTCAGTAGAAGGACACTGCTTCACACTCAATTTAAACGAAGCAGTAAACGGGGTAGAAGTAGCTTTGGCCTTGTCCATGTTGAACCGCTACAACACTTTTTTGATATATTTTTCTTAGGATAACTATAACTTTTTCTCTTCCCTATTCCGAGAAATATACATCCCAAGAATACTTCTAGCTGGCCCCAAATCCTTCATCGCAAAATTCTTGCTCAACTTTTTCTTCAGATTATTTATTTTTGAGGCTGAAGAGCCTACAATGAGCATATCATCTACATAAAGAAGTAAGATGATAACATCAGTACCTGAGAACCACTGCACGAAAACACAAGGGTCGGCATCAGTCTTCTTGTACCCTTGTTGAATCATAATAGATTCGAATTTCTTGTACCACTGCCGGGGAGCCTGTTTAAGCCCATACAAGCTCTTTTTCAATCGACATACATGGTCCTCCTTCCCATTCACCAAAAACCTCTAGGCTGCTCCAGATAAATTTCTTCTTCGAGATCACCGTGAAGAAACGCCGTCTTGACATCCATTTTCTCCACTTCTAAGTCAAGACAAACAACCAAACCTAAGATAACTCGAATAGAAGCCATCTTGACAACCGGTGAAAAAATCTCCTCAAAATCAACACCATATTTTTTACTAAAGCCTTTCACAACAAGTCTGGCTTTGTATCGAGGAGATGATGAGTGTTCTTCATGCTTCACCTTATAGATCCACCTATTTTTCAAGGCTCTTCTATCACTTGGAAGCTCAACTAACTCATGCGTGTCATTAGCATGTAGGATTGCATTTCATCTTTCATAGCAACAATCTACTTCTCTTTTTCAGGACTTTGGACGGCTTCTTCATAATCCTCAGGCTCTCCATTCTCGGTCAAGAGCACATACTCCGTAGATGAATATCTAGTGGAGGGTTGTCTATCCCGGGTAGACCTTCTCAATGAAAATTCTGCCATATCCACCGAATCCGGACCAACATCAACATCATCAACAACATCATCGCCGACAGATTGATTTTCATCACCACCCAATTTTAGTGTAAAAACTTGATCCAAATAAATCAAGTCTTTATTTTGAACATTTGACTTATGATTCGTCTCAATGTCCTCAATTGTTTGATCCTCCATGAATACAACATCACGGCTTTTGACAAGCTTTTTCTCAATAGGATCGTAACACCTATAGCCAAATTCATCATCACCATAGCCAATAAAGATGCATTGTCGAGTCTTAGCATCCAACTTGGATCGTTTATCCTTAGGCACATGAACAAAACACTTGCATCCGAAAACTTTGAGGTGATCATAAGATACTCTTTCTCCGTACCAAACTCTGTCAGGAATATCTATCTACAAAGCCACTGTAGGAGTCAGGTTATAATAATGTGAGCAACTACATATAAAGCCTCACCCCAGAAATGTTGAGACAATTTAGCATCCGAAAGCACGTATCTGACTCTCTCAATTAACGTTCTATTCATCCTTTCTACCAAGCCATTTAGTTGCGGAGTTTTAGGAGGCGTCTTCTGATGTCGAATACCATGCTTTCGACAATAAGCATCAAACGGTCCACAATATTCACCTCCATTATCAGTCCTGATGCACTTCAATTTCTTACATGTTTCTCTCTCAACAGAAACATAAAACTCAACAAAAACATCAAGAACCTGATCTTTCGATTTCAACACTCGAACCCATAATTTTCTTGAGTGATCATCAATGAATGTAACAAAATAAAATGCACCTCCAAAAGACTTTACCTTCAAAGGACCGCACACATCCGAATGGATCAATTCAAGAATATCTCTTTTCCTCGTAGGAGGGTGATGAACAAAAGAAACCCGTCTTTACTTTCCCACTCGGCAATGTGAACACTTATCAAGTTGAGCACGTGTAACACCAGTGAGTAGAATCTTTCTCGCCAAAGTATCGAGTCCTTTCTCACTAATGTGACTCAATCTCCTATGCCATAAGCTCGAACAACTCCCATTCTGAACTGCATTAACACCATTCGTAGAAATAATAGCATGAAACCAATATAAACTGAATTTTTTCTTACCCTAAGCAATTACCATAGAACCTTTGGTAATCTTCCATTTTCCATCACCGAAATGGCAAGAATATCCATCATCATCCAACCTGCCAGTGGAGACTAGATTCAGTCGAACATCGGGAGCATGCCTCACATCCTTCAGCACTAGTGTGTATTCACTACTGGTATCCAAACACACTGTTCCTGTGCCTACTACTTTCGCTAAGCCATCATTTCCCATCTTCAAGACTCCAAAGTCTCCCAGAGTATATGATGTGAAGAAATCCCTATTAGCAGTCACATGGAATGCAGCTCCACTATCCACAACCCAACTAGTCTCATTTTGGGTAAGATGAACTCCCTCTTCCTCATACACAATGACGAGATCCTCCGGCATTGTCGTATTCACACGATCATTGCTCCTATCATCATTTTTATGCTCATACTTGTTGTCTTTATCTTTCTGCTCCTTTTTCAACTTGAAACAATACCTTTTAATATGTCCCCGTTTGCCACAATAATGATACTCAAGGTCTTTGTATTTTGGCTTTGACTTACTTCTTCCTCGACTCTTTTCTCAATTCCCATGATCTCGGCCTATGTTCCAACTTCTCCCCTTATTATTCGTAACTAAGATCTCCGAATGAGAAGATTAAGTGCCAAGAGTCTTCCTCCTCACCTCTTCATTCAAAATAGCACTTTTGATAAACTCCAAAGTGACTATCCCATCGGACGCATAATTAGGCAAAGAGACTCTGAAACCTTCCAACGAATCTAGAAGAGTATTAAGTAGCCACAAACCAAGTACCTCATCATCAAACTTCACTCCCATGCCTGACAGCTGATCGAAACATCCTTGAAACTCATTTATGTGATCGGAAATAGACTTGCTCTCATGATAACTTAAACGCATAGCCTGCTTGAATAGAAACAACTTATTGTTGCCAGTCTTCGAAGCATATAAGTTTTCCAGCTTGTCCCACAATGTTTTGGCATTGGTCTCATTCACAATGTGATTCAAAACATTGTCTTCTACCCATTGCCTTATGAAACCACATACTTGTCGATGCTCCAATTCCCAATCCGCATCGCTAGTTTCAACATCAGGCTTTGTGGCAAAAAACACTGGCCCGTGTAACTTCTTCACATATAGAAGATCAGTTATATTCCCTTTCCAAACATGATAATTTGTTCTATCTAAGCAAATCATTCTTCCCAAGTTCACATCCATCTTTCAATGGTAAATAACACTCCCAAACAACCTTGCTCTGATACCCACTTTATGTTGAAAGAATACCGGAAGAAGGCCAAAATGCAAACCAAAATTAGATTCGACATACTCCTTAAGCGTGGTCACGCCTAAGCAGTGTGTTCAAACAGTTCCACCAAAAACCTTTGCCTTCAATCAATTATTTTTTCTACCAAAAGAAGATGAATGACAACCACCAATAAAAACGGAAATAACAATACGAGACACCGACTTTTAACGTGGAAAACTCCTTCAAAGTGAAGGATAAAAACCACGAGGCCTATCACCCGACCCAAGGCAAAAACCACTATCTCAAAAGGTTCGTACAATCAAAAGATAACCACAATCAAAAGGGCTATCAACCTCCACACCCAAATAAAGAATCGAACCCCAATCACAAGAGATTTCCCAACTACAAACAACCCATTCCAATCCCCAACCAATAAGATTCAAAATCGAATCCAAACAAATAAGGAGATATCAACGATACCAAAAGGAACATCCGAAGATGACGAGACCGTTGATCGGAACCGAGTTGAAATTATCTCTTGCTTGCCGATTCTCTCACGCGCGTTGATAACAATTGTCTCTCTCAATCTCTACACCCAATTGACCCCTCTCTCAACTAAGACGGCTAGGGCAACAATTGGCAAAAATGGACTTTTAATTCTTTTTGAGCTAACTTGAATTGTTGGCCTCCAACACATAGAAAGAACCCAAACCCAACCAATAATTCTATTTAAAATATTAGCACATTGATAATCAATTTACTTGCATTCTATTTACACAATAATTTTGGATACTTCAGTATTATTCAATTATTTTAAAAACTTCACATTAAATATATATTTCTCTCGCAAAAAGATCACATTAAGTACTAATTTTTATACTATTTTCAAATCTTCCAAACTCTAAAACTCCCCAAAGTTTCTTGTATATTCATTCTATTGTCAGATCGCCAAAACTACTTTTCAAACCACATCCAAACAAGTGATGATCAATACGAAATACACGAATATATATATATACATACATGTATATTTAGAGCTTCAATTAATATACTCCTTTTTCTGAATTATCAATGTACACGGACCCTGCAAATTTAAGACAAATCATTATCATTCGTTGATGCTCCAAAAAATTAAATAACTATATATTGACAATACTTTTGACATGTTAATATAACAAAAATATAATATGCGAACTAAAATTATTGTAGTAGTCCACGTATTATGATTGATCTCAATACACAATATATATATTAACGCAAACATAATATGTAGTATGAACTGACATCATATTGTAATAATATTTACATAATACATGCTAATTTAATTTAAGTCATATGCTAAGAAGTATATTTCATATGATTATTAAGATTAATCAACACCCTAACCATACCGTAATACAACATTACATTAAAATTAATCATAATATAGTAGAATAATATTAATTATACCCTACAAACTACAACTACTAGGACTAGAGAAAAATATCAAATATATGAAATATCACTCACAACATATTTTTTATATATCATTTTTTTTATATAGTAAATAATTATATATATATATCACGATATATCGTTATTATACCGAAATTTAATATATACCAAACGTTAGATATATAGAGTGATGCCAACATATACTAAAGTTCAATATATGTCGGTGGTATTACAGTATACACCGGTATATATCGAATAAAATAGAATGAAATTATTAGGTGTTAGAATGGAAGAATTATAAATAAGAATATCAATGTTTTTGTATTATTATTTTTTATTATAGTAATTAATTGACAAAAAATTAATTATTTTCAATATTTTGGTATTCTAGTATACTATGAATTTTATGGTATATTATTTATTTTGGTATATTAAATTTTTGTAATACAGTATATCGAAATATCAGTATAATATAAAAGATTGGTATGATGTTAGTATAAAATATTTTATACAATAATTTTCAGTATAAAATATAGTTTGAAAGTTTCAGTTTAACGTAGCTTTGCCACGCCCTACCAACTTGCCACACATCAAGACAAATGTATGAATAAATAATTAATATCCAGTAAAATATATATTTTTTATTAAGTTTGTGTGTTCAACAAACTTTGAGTACCATATAATCTACTACTGAAAAAAAAAATAATAATAATAAATAAATAAATATTCAAAAGCTTTATAAGTTTATTGGAGAAGGCACCACATTTATTTACTATTTTGCATTCTTAAAAAATAAGAAAAAGAATAAATATATATTATTGAATTCATATGGATTGTGGTGTATAAATATGTTTATAATGCTAAAATTGTTATATAAAATTATATTATATATTATTAGAACATATATTGTATATTATATTATTATGTACGATCACACATACGTTATCTATTTTCACAAAATGTGTTAAACATGTCGAATCAGCAATCCCATCCACCTACCACTAATTTTCACTTTTCTATGTAAGTGATGAATGAAATTTGGTAAGATAAAATTATCATCCAACAAAGAGCAATGTTATAATTAATCTAAACTCTAAAATGGATAGTTCTATATTATATGCTTGTTTGATTTCTATATCAAAGTATTTTAATTTTTTTTCCTTATTACTAACAAGATATACATTATTTTCTTTCATATCATATTATATTAAAATACTATTAAAATCAAAATTCAAATAAAGAAAATGGCAAATCAAACAACAAACCAAACAAATTTTATATAATCCAATAAAATAAACATATACGTACCAGTCGAATACTGTAATCTGACATTTAGGATTACTTCCGGCACTATCTTGTAGCTCACTTAGCCGAACCCCTCGGCAAGCAACATTCATCAAAACCGGGGAAGTCGACCACCCGGCCCCCTTAACCCCAACCCCACCATCCAACTCCACACTCACTTTCAAGTTCTTGCTCTGATATTCCGTTTTCATTCTTTCTGCCACCTCATTCGCCACAACTTGCTTCGCCTTCACCTTGATATCCATACTCGTCACATTATTTGCGGCTTGGATGAATCCGGGCACCACCGATTTCCCCAAATTCACGCCCCCATCGTCCGCTCTAATCAAAATGCTAGTTCTATTATACTTGATTTCTAAATTGGAATTAGGGTTTTTGATCTCAACCCTAATAGAGGATTCCGAGTTCAAGATTGCCCCGTCCGCCGAGGATTGCACGTCGAACCTTGTTATCTTCATCGACGCCACGTGGATTTCGGGGAGTTGGGGATGGTAAAAAGCATAAAAGAATGCCGAGATGGAGATGAGGAGGATAAAAAGGAGCATGGAGACAATGCAACACCAGCAGTAGTAAGTCCGGCAAAATGAGCGGCGGCGTTTTGTGCCGAACGACGGCGGCACGTTTCCGGGACGCCGTGGTGGGGCCCGGCCGGCAGGGTTGTTGGGGTCCTGGTACCCTGGAGGCTTCTGCAGAGGAGGCGTGGGCCCCGACGACATATTCCAAGCTACCGGGACTTGTAAAAATGGGAAATTTTGATGAAATGGAAAAGAGAGAAAGGTTTAATTTTAGGGAATTGGGAATTTGGACAATAAAGTGAGGAGTGTTTGTTATTGCAGCATTGGATTAGGGTTCTTTGAGGTTTATGAGAGGAATGATCGATGGAATATTGATAATGGATTGATCTGCAGAACTAATTAATTAGGGTTTGATTGGTTTGGATTGGACTGGATTAATGAAGAAGAAGAAGAAGAAAAGAATGAATGAAAAGTTGAAAGATGAGATGAGAGGAATCGTGGGAAGGAGGGAATTACGGACAGAAATTACCATCTGGCGGCTGACGTTTCAAACAATTGATGGCTGTCCGAATCTTATTTCATGTAAATTTCATTTCATTGTGTTACGTTGCACACTACTACTACTACATATCTCTTTCTCTCTGCCATTTCATTTCATTTATTTTCTTTTCTCTTCTTTTCTTTTCACAATTGATACTCACCTTCAATTTGTCACTCCCTTCATTGTTTTTTAAAATGTTGGTTGCAAATTGGAATGTAAGTTAGATTTTACCATTGAGAAATTAGATGATATTGGAGTATAAGTTCGGATATGATTTAATCTATATATTTAATTAAAAATAAATTTAAAAATAGATGTTTATTTTTTAAAAGAAAATATTTTAATATTAAGGTTATTTTGTAAAAAAAATAATTTTTATATAGGGTGTGTTTTTTTAGGGGATTGGATTTTAAATCCACTGTTGATCCTATTTTTTCTTCCAAAAAATATCAAATCAAACACTTATTTTTCAATTTTTACATTATACTAAAAAATCAATTTTACATTCAAAACATCACATCAACACCTATTTATATCACATCGTACAACTATTCAAATTCAAATTTTTTACTATTCAAATCTCAACTCAAAATCCAAACCCCCAAACAAACACACCCATAATATAAATCATTTAAAACTATATAATTATACATAATTAATAGAAAGCAATTTAATAGAAAATATAAAAAAAAATTAATATATATATTTATATATTAGTTTAATTGAGAGAAATAAAAAGAATAGGCTACAATTAAGTTCCATCTTTAAAAACCTGAAATATAGGTAAAATTATTATACACCAAATAGGTATGTGCATAGGTGTGTATGCATATACGTCGACACTACATACATTAAGACGTGAATGTATTTATTAACACTTTTTATGGCGGTCATATGCCTATATATATATATATGTATCAATTGTAAATGAAATCAGATGAAAAAAGCAATCAATCTCCGTTACTGCACTTTCTCGCTTGCACTTTTTCTCTATACATTATATTTTTATTATAATATATAAATATAATATACTAATATATAAGTACACATATATACATACATACATACCAATATCATAATATTTATTACATAATACGTTATCAGCACGAAGGCTCTTGCCTGTTTTATTTTTGGTAAATTTTATTTTTATATTATCTATATTATCTATTTTCTATACTATGGAAAACCTTGCAAAATTTTCTTTTAAACTCCCGTCTCTCACCGGCAATAATTTTCTGACTTGGTCCCTAGACGTAGAAATGTATTTGGTTTCAATGGGCCTTGTTCATACAATTGCCAGTGAAAATACGGCTACAAGCCAAGATCGGGCTAAGGCTATTATTTTCATCCGTCATCATTTGGACATTCCTCTACAGTCTGAATATTTGACGGTGAAAGATCCACTTGATTTGTGGAATGAATTAAGGGAGAGATTTGGGCACTTGAAATATATCACTCTCCCCAAAGCCCGACATGATTGGCTTAACCTGCGGTTGCAGGATTTTAAAACTGTTACAGAGTACAACTCTGCTATCCATCAGATTACTTCTCAGTTGAAACTCTGCGGAGAAAATGTTATTGAGAATGATAAATTAGAGAAGACTCTCTCTACCTTTCATGCTTCTAATGTTGTGCTGCAACAACAATATCGTGAGAAAAATTTTCAAAAGTACTCACAGCTCATTGCATGCTTTTATTAACTGACCAAAATAATGAGTTATTGATGAAAAATCATCAGCCCCGGCCCACTGGTTCCAGTCCGTTCCCTGAATGGAATGTGACATTTTCTGAACGAGGCCGAGGACGTGGTAGAGGCCGTGGACGTGGTCGCGGTCGTGAGAGTCAACGCGGTCGATATACCCCTTACAATCGCCGCAGTTTTGACATTAACAGGATGCAGAGTAAACCCCAACATGGGGATATAGCCGAAAAGGCTAAACAGGGAAAGAGGCGAATCGGCAGTTGTAATCGGTGTGGCATTGAAGGCCATTGGGCCAATACCTGCAGAACAGCCAAACGCCAAGCCGATCTTTATCAAGTCTCACTGCAGAAAAAAGGGAAGGAGGTCGAGACTAATCACGTTGATAACGATGACGACCCCGATGATGATCTTTTGGATTACGACACAACGCATCTTGATATAACGGATTTTGTCATAGATCCAGCAAACCCCCAGTAATAGACATATTATGTCATTTTACATTATGTTTTGTAATATTTAAATTATCGCATACTACCTTTTTGTAATACATTTTGTAATACTTATATATGTCTCTATTAATATTGCGTTTATTTATATTTGAAGGTTAAATGGATGCCAAACAAAATGATGCAAATATGTGTTTCATTGACAGTGCAACGACACATACCATATTGAAACACGAAAATTATTTCTCCAATTTCAAAAGGGAAAAGATGAATGTCAATACAATAAGTGGCAGTGCAAAATTAATTGAAGACTCTGGAGAAGCCATTATATTTCTCCCCGCAGGGACGAAAATTGTGATATAGTATGCACTGTTGGCCACTAAAGCTCGAAGAAATCTACTGAGCTTTCATGACATTCGAAAAAATGGTTATCACGTTGAAATTATGAGTGATACCGATGGTGAATTTTTATTGATCACCAATATCATTGATAAAAGGAAATGCATCATTGAGAGATTACCGTCACTCTCTATTGGTTTATATTATGCCAAACTAGGTGTTGTTGAAACACACCTCACGGTAGATCAAAAGACTACCGATTTTCAAATATGGCATGATCGCCTTGGGCATCCTGGCAGTATAATGATGAGGCGAATAATTGAGAATTCGCATGGCCATTCATTAAAAGATCAAAAAGTGTTAAACTCAAATGAGTTAACATGTGTTGCCTGCGCTCAAGGAAAATTGATAACCAGGCCATCGCCAACTAAAGTATGTATTGAATCACCTACATTTTTGGAAAGAATACACGGGGATATATGTGGACCAATAGACCCATCGTGTGGGCCATTTAAATATTTTATGGTGCTTATTGATGCATCTACCAGATGGTCACATGTCTGTTTATTATCTACTCGCAATATGGCATTCGCGAGATTGCTTGCCCAAATTATTAAATTACGGGCACAATTCCCCGATAATCCAATTAAGACTATACGTCTGGATAATGCTGGTGAATATACATCGAATGCATTTGATGATTATTGCATGTCGATTGGAATTAATGTAGAGCACCCAGTTGCTCATGTTCATACACAAAATGGCCTGGCAGAATCACTTATTAAAATATTGCAATTGATTTCTAGACCATTACTGATGAGGTCTATGTTGCCCGTTTCAGCTTGGGGGCATGCAATCTTACATGCATGAACACTTATAAGAATGAGGCCGACAAGCTATCATAGCTATTCCCCAATGCAGTTAGTATTTGGTCATGAACCAAATATATCTCATCTACGTATTTTTGGGTGTGCTGTTTATGTTCCTATTCCACCCCCCAAACGTACAAAAATGGGTCCTCAATGTAGATTGGGCATTTATGTCGGATATGAATCGCCATCAATTATAAAATATCTTGAACCTATGACGGGCGATTTATTCACTGCAAGATTTGCAGATTGTCATTTTGACGAATCATATTTTTCGACATTAGGGGGAGACAAAAACGAACCGAAAAGGGATATTAATTGGAAAATCCCATTGAATTTTTATGACCCTCATACAAAGTAGTGTGAACTAGAAATTCAACGCATTATACATTTGCAAAATATTGCAAATCAGTTACCGGATGCATTCAATGACTCGAGCAAAGTCACTCGATCATATATCCAAGCTGCTAAGGCTCCGACTAAAATAATTGTCCCTGATAGACAAATTGCAAGTGCTAATGAATCAGCGACACACTTAAAACGTGATAGACCACTCGGTTCCAAAGATAAACACCCTCGAAAGAAAAGAGGAATTAATGATGATAATCATGAAAATATCATGAATGACATTGATAAACCTCAATCTAACGAGGAAGTCAACCCTGAAATAATTGCTCCAGAAGAGCACGATCTTGAAGAACATGATGAGATTATTGAAAACTCAATTAACTATGTTACTTCAAGAAAATGTTGGAACTGTAAAGAGACAATTATTGATAATGCCTTCGCATACAGTTTAGCACTTGATATAATGGAATATAATGAGGATCCAGAGCCAAAAATAGGTTCATGAATGTCGACAAAGAAATGACTGGCCAAAATGGGAGCATGCGATTCAATCAGAGCTTGATTCATTAAACAAAATAGAGGTCTTCGGACCAATTGTTCAAACACCAGATGGTATAAAACCAGTTGGGTACAAATGGGTGTTTGTACGAAAAAGAAATGAGCATAATGAAATTGTGAGATATAAAGCCCGTCTTGTAGCTCAGGGATTCTCACAAAGGCCTGGAGTAGATTTTGATGAAACGTACTCTCCAGTTGTTGATGGAATAACATTTAGATACCTTGTGAGCCTAGCAGTGCGAGAAAAACTCGATATGCGTCTTTTAGACGTAGTCACTGCATATCTTTATGGCTCCTTGGATACTGATATTTATATGAAAGTTCCTGAGGGATTCAATATGCCCGAAGCATACAAATTAAACCCAAGAGAATCATATTCCATCAAATTGAAAAGGTCA